GTGCCTGGGCTGCAGCTCCAAGCAGGTCCCCATGCCAGGAGCTCAGGGCTACAGGAGGGTGGCTGGCTGGGGTGGCCAGGAGCTACATTCCCTATGCCCTAAGTCCTTCCTTACGAGCCAGTTTTATCTCTTGCAGGGCTATGAGGTGCATACACTGGCCGATGCCAGCAGAGAGGCAGCAATGAGGAGGGCTAGCTATTGGCAACGGAAAGCCATGCTCCCACCATCTGTGATAACTGCCTGCCCAGCCCAAGCTGGGCAGGGCTCTGGGGTGGAGTGTGGTCCAAGGGACCAGGGGAACCTGGCCACAGCGGGACTGTGATCTGACAGCAGCTCTGATTGGACTTGATTAAGGCACCAAGTAGTCCTGTGAGTTCTTGAAGAGCTGGGCAGCAGGATTACATGGATTTACACAGAGTGAATGCTTTCTGCTCTGAGCCTGGAGCCCCTCCTGATAGGAACAGCAGGTTTAGCTGGAGTTCACCACATGGTGCCATGGAAATGTAAAGTAGGAAACCCAGGAAATGTGAAGACTGCAACAGGGAGTGAATCTGGAGATCAGGACTGAGACATGATTCTGCAGTTCTGCAGCAGGAATACAGCATTGCTTTATTGCAGTCTTTTTTCATCCCTGTTTCCTGATGATCCTATAGGAGCTGATCCTGTAACAAGCTCTGTGTCTGAAGCTTTAAGAGTTGAGGAGCTGAGCAGAAATGTCATTTGAGTAGGGACTGGACAGGCACCAACACTTGAGGGGAAGGAATGCCCCATGTGGAAACCAGCATAGACAGCAGAGGAGCTACTACCTCAGTGAGGGCGAAAATCTGATCCATGTCTGTTTTCTGTGGTAATGTCTTCAGGACGGCCTTTATGAGAAGAAATATCAATGTTTGTGTCCTCCTCTGGTCTATTGAGGCATACTAAATCTAGCCTTGTGGGCCTGGTGAGAAATCAAATCTCCATGAATTTGTGAAGGGTCAGGGGGGGTGTTTTAAACTGAATGCCTAAATTTGGGTGAGCATCCACAAGGATCAGGCCCAGCTCCTGCAACCACTCAGCACTTTAGGAAATCAGACTCTAACCTGGGTGCAGGGCCCTTACCTTCTCCAAGGGTAAGTGTTGCACTTTCCAAAACCCAACTGTACTGTTGCAAAACTGGGAACTTCCCCAAGTCAAGTTTCCCTACTTGTTCGGAGAGATGCATCCTTCCAGCTCAAGAATTCCTTCTTGAGCAAAACACACCATAGCTTGTATTGCAGATCACTACAGCAGTGCTGCTCACTGTTTGTCGTTTCCACTTGTGCACAAATGCTTCCTTGGGACACAGAGACAGGAAGACCTATGCAAATCATGGCGTTCAGGGTGGTGGGAATCTGCTTGCTGCATCCAACCCCTACCCAAAGCACAGCCAGCTCCATGGTCAAAGCTGCTGTGGGCTGCATCCAGATCTCAAAGCCTTCCTGAGACCCTGCTCCACTACGTAATGATCCTCAGAGTGACTGTTGTGCCTTACCTCCAGGTGGAAGGAAACCTCTTGAACCTCCAACTCTGAAAACTCTGGGGGTTTTGTTTATGAGAAGTTCAATATGAGTCAACAATTTGTCCTGCTGGCCAAAAGGGCCAGCTGTATCCTAGAATGCATCAGGCACAGTATAGCTAACTGGTCAAAAGAAGTGACTGTCCCACTGTGCTTAGCTGTACCTCAGTACTGTGTGCATCACAAAGATGGTGAAAGGACTGGAGGACACGACTTACAAGCAGCAGGTACTGAATTTGTTCAGCTTACGGGAGACTGAGGTGACTTCATTGCTGTCTACAACTTGCTCATGAGGGGAAGGAGGTGGAGCGGGTGATTCTGATTTCTCTCTGGTGTTGCAGTGATAAAGCATGAGGGAATGGCTTGAAGCTGTCAGGGGAAGTTCAGATTGGATATTAGGGAAAAGCAGTCAAGCACTTGAACAAGCTCCCCAGGGAAATGGTCATGGCTCCAAGCCTGCCATGACCATTTCCCTGAGGTCATGGGGGAAGTGTTCAGGAAGCATTTGGACAACACATACTTGGTTTAACTTTTAGGTTGCCCAATATGGAGTGTAGAGTTGGACTCAGCAATCCTCACAGGTCCCTTCCCACTGAGAATATTGCATGATTTTATGAACTTGAAACCTCCTGTCTGAATTTTGCCTGCTGCCTCTCATCCTCACTCCCTGCCCCAGTGATGAGCCTGGCATTGTTTTCTTGATAGCCTTGCCACAGGTAACAGACTGTTAGGTGGTCCTCACAAAGCCATTCCTTCTGCAGGCTGAGCAAGCCCAACTCCCTCTGCCTTTGATCACAGTGGAAATGCTCCAGCCCTGGCCATCTTGGTGGCTCTTCACTGAGCTCTTCTGAGTCTGCTGGTGTATTCCTTGTTTCAGGGAACCCAGCACTGGATGCAGCACTTTGATATGACATCAGATGTACTGACTAGAGGGCCATAACCACTTCCCTCATTCCACTCTCTTTGGTGCTGTTCACACAGCTCAAGATGCTGTTGACCACCTCTGCTGTCAGGGCACACTCATGTCTGATTTGCAGCTCACCAAGGGCCCCTACGGCCTTTTCCACAGAGCTGCTGCTCAGCAAGGCACCCCCAGAATGTATGTTTTCAGGGCTCTTGCTTCCCAGGCACAGGACTCGCCATTTGTCCTTGCTGAACTTCATGCAGTTATTTCTGGCTTATTCCTCTGGTCTGTCCAGGTCCCTCTGGATGGCAGCCCTGCTCTTCAGCATATTCACTGGTCCCCTCAACCTGCACACTCTGTCACCTTTCCTATCACTAATGAAGATGTTAAACAGGACAGGTCCCAGCTCAGATACCTGTGATGCTCCACTTGGCATCAGCCTCAGGGTCACTGTTTCTGGCCAACTTGTACTCAGAAAGCAACAAGGAAGTCACCGAGCAGCAGGTTTGCCTACTGATTGTAACCTTGTCCTACCTGGTCAGCTGTGGCCCTGCACTCACAGCTCCGCTCCTCACAGTCCCTATGGCCAGCTCTGTCCTCTCACTGCACGGAGCCAGCTCTCCAAGGCTTCTCACCTAAGCCTTGCCCAGGCTTGGGCATCCAGTCTGCCCTAGAGGCCAATTAGTGCACTTTAAACAAGATACTTTAAATAGAAGGCTGAAGTTTGAGAGAGAGATTTGTTTCCAGTTTGTCTGCTTGGTTCCCATTCCCCACAGGCTTCTCTCCACAGAGAAAATGCCATCAGAGCTTCAGTGCCCATTACTAAGAGCCCAGAGCACTGCACTTTCTCCCTTCGCAGGTTTTTGTGAGACCTGTAACCAAGGCTTAGAGTGGCTTATTAAAAGTTTGAGGCAGTCACTCAAGAGTAACTTTGAAGCTGTTCACATCTGCTGTAACCAACTGCATCATCATGTCATAAGCAGCAGAGTGAGACATGTGAGAAGAATGTCTTTGTTCTGTGCAGACTCCCGATCTTTGAAATGTTCATACTCTAGGCAAAGAAACACATAAAGTTGTTGAAGTACTAAAAGGAGAAAAAGGTAAATAATTTAACCTGAATGACAGTAAACTTTATGGAAAACTTCAGCAAATACAAAGCTGAAGTTCCACAGTCATTTGTAATAATGATTGTGCCCTCTTGCCCAGATTTCCTCTCTACTCTGAGGCAGTGTAGCTACACTATAGATGTATACTACGGCCGTGTCAGGTAGGTATTGTTTCTGTGAAATACGGGGGGAGCACTTCCTTTGGAAAGCAGAAACTCTGGTTCAGCAGCCTTCAGTCTAATTCAGGTACCACGCTTCTGTGCAAACAGGCAGAAGGCATTTAAGCATTAGTAAGAAGAGGACAACAACCAAAATACAAATGTTGACTGTACATGAGATTTTTGCAGCATCAGATATTACATATTTAAGCTAAACCAGCATTTAGATAGCTTGCCTTTATTATTTCACAACATAATGTTTGCAAGTCAAATAAAGAAACCAAAAATCTTTACAAAAGAGAAGAAATAGCCTGTGCTGGGCATTACCAGGATTTATTAAAAATAATCAGAGGTTTCAACTTGTTCTGTAAAAGCAGATTAGGGACAGGGAAGGGGCAGGAAGAAAAGTGAGAAAGGGTACAAGAAATTGTTTTAAATTAAAGCCATGGGAAGTTACAAATTCAAGTGTACAGCACAGGACTGGGAGGCACAAGGAGGTACACAGAACACACATGAATTGTCATTATGAACTGGTTTCAGCTCTAACAGTTATTTTTCTTCCTAGTAGCTGGTACAGTGCTATGACACACTAAAGAAGTGAAACATATCTTCAGCACTTACAAAGAGAGGAAAAAAAAACAATAAAAGAAAGACTTTCCCAAGAGGCCTCAAAGCAGAGCTTCTGCTAAAATCCAAAGGCTTCCTTTGATATTAAAAGCATTATTTTGACACTATCTCCTCCATCTAACACCAAATATTTCAGTATTATCAGAATCATGGGAGGATCTGGGTTGGAAGGGACCTTAAAGCTCATCCAGCTCCAACTCCCTGCCACAGGCAGGGACACCTTCCACTAGAGCACAGTGCTCCAAGCCCCTGTGTCCAACCTGGCCTTGAACACTGCCAGGGATGGGGCAGCCACAGCTTCTCTGGGCACCCTGTGCCAGCGCCTCAGCACCCTCACAGAGAACAACTTCTTCCTTATATTAGATCTCCTGACAGACTTCACAGAACATCTTTAGATTTACAAAACAAATGCTCTATGTAGGGCAATGGCACTGCACAGTTCCGACAACCTCTTCTCAGGTGCAGTCTTGGTGGACCAAAGAAATGTTAATATGGACATAACAACTGGCAGTAACCTAAGGAATGGTGCCGGTCACCTGATAATCACTCTGTGAAAACACTGCACCACTAAGCCAGTGCTGTTTGTACTTGAAATTTTAAAAGGATTGGTTTCTCCAAATGTAATAATGTCAAATGACTAGGAACATTAACACATTGCAAACAAGAAGTGTAAGCCAGGAATTGTCATTTAATGGCACCCCAAATGAATAGCCAAAAAAAGAAAGCACAATATAAATAAAGAAGAAAGATGAAAATAAAATCGTAAGGGTTACTAATCACATGAAAACCCCACAAAACTGACAGACACTGAGGGAATCAATAAAATATCAACTGACAGTAGCATTATGGACAGCAAGATTCCAGAGCTGTATAAACACAAACTCAGTCATAAGCAGATCCACCTTTGGATACTGCTGGTGAAAATAAAACAGCAATGCAAAAATGCAGAAATATTCCGCAGATCCTTTTGATCTGTACCTGGAACAAAACAATGACTGCATTTAATCTCATATAATGGTAATGAAGGAACAAACATGTTGATGCATTTGGTCAAGGAAACTCTACATGAGCATTTCTTACAATTACACATTTTTCAATCAAATGCCCAGCATTTCACATAGTTGTCTTAAACTAGCCACAGCAACTTCCCTTTGATCTGTACTATAATGATGCACTAATGAATTTGCGACTCAGTCAACAATCTAGTCAAGAACTGTAGGGAAAGGTATCCTCAGTGCTAGTCATGCATAACTTCAGAAGAGGGAATCACTAACAAACTTCTTGTCCCAAACGCAGTACAACGGTACCTTCACCAATACAGTGCATTTGAAATTAGCTGAAAGAAATCCACTCAGTACAACATGGCACCTTAATTAAAAATATTAGCATTGTAACTGCAATCTGGGGCAGTTTAAACGGATTAAAAACTGGTACAGGAACAGAGCTCAAAATGCATCAAACAGGGAAACATAAATAAGCATATCAGAACCTTGCTTTGTACCTCAAAACCAAGTCCTCACACACCAGGATATTATATCAATTACTGCATAACGAAATTACTTTGTCCATATAATTTACAAAGGACATGCAACTCAGTACTTCAATGCCCGGCAGAAATTCTACAGCCCCTTTGTACCAGCATTCAAATCAGCTTCTCTGGCCTTTTATTATGGATTTGAGAAATCCATAGCTCTAATGGCCACTATCAAGTCTCATCAGAACTGCAGATCTCATCCCCCAGGCAATCTAAAAAGCACAAACAGAAGATCCTTCAGAGTCACTGGAGTATTCCACACCTTTCTGCATCTTCCCCTAGAACTCGTGCTGCAGACTTGTCAGCCCAGCCCAAATAAACCAAATGGGATACGCTGCTTTCCTCTTGGGAACGGCTTCTAACTGTGCCCCTCCACCAGAAGCTCAAGATCAGAATTATGATACAAAACTGAAGAGAACCTTGTTTTCAGCTTGGATCCAGGAAAGCAAGGACAGGAGAGTTAGTATTACCCTGCTTATTGAGGCCTTTTTTCATAATTTTTTCCCTCTCTTTTCTCCTTATGGGACTCTGGGAACAGAGCAAATATTAAGACTCTCAGGACTACCATCAGCAAAACAAACCATATCCTAACTGGAACTAGCAACCCCCTTTCACCTACCCTGTTGCTGGACTCACCTGTACCGCTTATGTCTAAATAAAACACCAGGGACCAGTGAACTCCATGGCTAGATCTCTACATCCAGATGGAGTACTGCTACTTGAGAAGTTTTTCCCTAAACTGCCCCAGTGCCTGGACGCTGCATGAACAACGTTAACTCCAGGTCACACAACATGATGTGCATTAGGTCTTTCTCTCCCCCACGCTCCTTAAAACATGCCATAGCTCTATGTCTTGTTATGAGGCTGACACAGTGTGTCTAGCAGCTACTCCCAGCTCAGCAAAGCATACCCCCGGGTAACTCATGTCAACTCTTGTCTCTTCATCCCTGAACACAGTGGACACGCTCCTCTGCATTGTAATACACCTGCCCTTGGCGCAGACGTGGCTCTTCCTGCTGGTACCAGAGCTGCTCATCGAACTCTGGGAAGAAAAAGGCAATTTCTCTGCTGGCTGATGCTGGTGAATCTGTTGGAAAACAGAGGAGAAGGTGAGTGATGGCAGTGTGACACTACAAACGTGCTACATTCCAAAGGGAAGGGCAAAAGCCACAAGAAAAGCACCAGGCTCAAGTCACACCAGGACAGGGGTGAGCGGAGTCTGCAGAAGTGAGTAAATCACTAACTGTGACTTCTAGACTGGAAAGCAAGCAAAACACCAGTGCTCACACCTTCCCGAGCTCCAGCCTTTGCCCAATACTCAACAAAGAAGGATGGGTCTACCTGAGCCATGAGTGGTATTCCTGGTGTCAGTGAGGCCATAAGCTCCTCGAATGGAGTCTGGGACGCTGTTTCGGGCTCGGAATACTTTGGTGGGTCCCATCAGGGATCTCCAGAGAGGGACAGCGTTCTCATGGGCCAAGATGTAAGCCCACATGGGGCCACTGAGAAAAAGACCAAGGAAGAGGAGAAGCAGATAAGGCTGCAAAAGGGCACAGCTTCATTCTTATAGATACAGCAAGTGCAAACAAGGAAGTGCAACTGTCTTCCAGTGCTTTTGGGAGGCCACACAGCCCTACCATGGCATAGACCCTGAGTCTGTGGCTCAGAGCAAAGCATTTGTGTGAATGCCCTCCTCCTAGGTGATGGCACCCACCACCCTTGGGGCTGCCACCCCACTAAGTCCTACTATAGTCACAGCAGGGTTATCTCCTGGCACTTCTCCACCCCTGAGCCCAGGGCCTTCCACCTTGGGTGAGACACGTCCCACACCAAAGTGGCCCCTCCACCCAAAGGCGGGACAAGGGTCCTCTGTGAAGTGAAGGGAGCGCCCTCCTGGCGCTCCGCAGGGACCGACTGCGGGCACGGCAGGTACCTGGCCATGAACTCCACCAGCCGCTGGTAGAAGAACCGCCCTGCGGGAGAAAGACGGGCGGGTCAAACCGCGCAGCGCCGCCGGCCCCGGACACGCTCGTCCCCCCCCCGCCCCGTGCCGCCTACCCGCGTGCTCCCGGTAGAACCGGCGGCTCTCCTCCCGCCCGCACCGCAGCTTCTTGGCGCGCACTATGAGGAACCGATTGCTGAGGATGGTTTCGTGCACGGCCTGCGGGCAGAGGCGCAGCGGCTGGGCGGGCGGCGGCCACCGCCGGGACGCTCCGCACCGCACGGCCTGGCCCGGTGTCTCGGGGCGGAGCGGGAGGAAGCGGGGCTGTGCGGGACCATGCGGGGCGGGACGAAGAGGACTGGTGCGGGACGATGAGGGGAGGGACGAAGCGGGGCGGTGCGGGATGATGCGGGGAGGGACGAAGCGGGGCGAGAGCAGGACGAAGAGGACTGGTGCGGGACAGTGAGGGGAAAGACGAGGCTGTGCGGGACGATGCGGGGCGCCCAGCGCTCACCTCCAGCACCAGCGGGTGGGCCACGGCGTCCGGCTTCAGCAGAGCCAGCGTGAGCTGCAGCGGCCGCCCACACGGCCTCGCCGCCGCCATGGCCCCCGGCGCGCCTGTGACATCAGCGGAACGTCGCGCTCCGTGATGCGGGGCCTGAGGCTGGTCCCGGTCCCACACATCGCGTAGCAGCGGGGACGCGGAGGCGGGGCCATGGCGGAGGCGCCGGAGCAGGCCCGGGCCGAGGCGGCGGCCGGCGCGGAGGAGACCGTGAAGATCATCTGCCTGGGCGACAGCGCCGTGGGCAAGTCCAAGTGCGTGCGTTCCCCGCGGGTAGGGCAGGGGCGGCTCGGGGAGGTCCCCCGGCCTAACGGCAGCGCCCTACTCTTTCCGCAGGCTGCTGGAGAGGTTCCTGCTCCACAGCTTGTATCCTTGTGCTGCCCCTTGCTGACCGCCCTGCGCGGCGGGGGCCTGGGGAAGAGCGGCGGGCCCGGCCGGGGGAGCGGTCGCTGCGGCGCGGGGGGCCGCCCTCCTCCGTCGGTTCCTTAACGCGGACGCAGCTGCTCCCAGCAGCTCTCCACCTTCGCCCTGACGCTCTACAAGCACCGCGCCCGGGTGGACGGGCGGGCGGTCCTCGTGGGTAAGTGGAGAGCGCGCCGCTGGGTGTTGCGCGGGGCACGGGCACGGGCACAGGGACGGGCACGGGAACGGGGACGGGCTGTGCCGGCTGCGTGCAGAGCGGGCACGGCGGCGGTGCTGTGGGCAGAGGCAGCAGCGCACGGACCCCAGACCGCGGCAGTTTCCTGCACTGGGCAGTGGGGTGTCAAAGAGCTGTTTGTAGGCAGGGAAATGGGGGAATGGAGGGATCAGAGGATCACAGAATGGGGGTGATCAGAAGGGGGCTCTGAAGCTCCTGTCCAACCCCTGCTGAAGCAGGGCCACCTGCAGCCAGTTGCCCAGGACCATGTCTGGGTGGCTTCTGAATGTCTCCAAGGATGGAGACTCTGCAACCTTCCTGGGCCTGTGTCCAGCCACCTTCACAATGGAAAGTGTTTCCTGATGCTCAGAGGAAAACTGTGTTTCAGTTTGCCCCCTCTGCGCATGTCATTGCACACCACTGAAAAAGCCTAACTCCATCTTCTTTACTCTCTTCCTTCAGGTATTTATACTCATTGATGAGATCCCCCTGAGCCTTCTCTTCACCAGGGTAAAGAATTCCGACCCTCTCTGCCTTTCCTCATAAGAGGTGCTCCAGTCCCTTCATCATCTTCATGTCCATGTCTCTCCTGTACTCAGGAGCTCAGAACTGGACACAGTCCTGCAGGTGTGGCCTCTCCAGTGCAGAGTAGAGGCGAAGGAATATTTTGCCTAATGCAGTTAAGGATGCTGTCCTGGGTTCAGCAGTAGCAGTCATGTTTTTCCTTTGTGTTAACTGGTGCAGTGCTGTGTTTTGACTTCTAGCTTGAGAACAGTGTTGGTGAAGCCGATGTTTTCGGTTGTTGCTAAGTGATGTTTACCCTGACCAAGGACTCTGTGAGGCCCATGCTCTGCCAGGGAGGAGGGGAAGTTGTGAGGAAGCAGAGACGGGGCGCCTGACCCGGGCTAGCCGGGGAGGTATTCCATACCACAGCACGTCATGCCCGGGGTGGGGGGGGTAACTGGGAGTTACCCAGAAGGACAGGGGCTTCCGGGTGGAACTCGCTTTCTTGGCCGGTGGTATCGTATTCTCTTCCCTTGTTATTTTCCCTTATCATTGTTTTAGCTGATAGTAGCGGTGGTGATTTGTTGCTGGACTGTTCTTGTCTCAACCCGTAGGAGTTGCACTCTCTCGATCCTCCTCCCCGTTCCTCCGGGAGCGGGGAAGGGGAGAGCCCCGGTGCTGGGGGGGGGGGAGACGGACACGGACCTCGATTGTTGTCAGCTCGGCACCACTCACTGGGAGTGAGTGAACAAGTTACCTGACTGGGTTTAAACCACAACAGATGCCAATAGCTTGCTTTGCGGCAAGGGCACAGCTTGGTGTCAGCCAGGACCCCCAGGGCCCTTTCTTTGCAAAGCTGCTTCCCAGCTGGATGGTGCCCAGCCGAAACTGGTGCTATGGGTTTGTTTCTATGTACTTCTACTTGTTAAACTTCATAAGGTTCCTATCAGCCTGTTTCTCCAGCCTATCCAGGTCCCTCTGGATGGCAGCAGAACCTTCTTGTGTACCAGCAACTTCTCCCAGTTTTGTGCCATCTCCAAGCTTGCTGAGGGTGCAGTCTTGCCCTATGTCGTGGTTTAAACCCAGTCAGGTAATTCGTTCGCTCACTTCCCCCCCTTTCTTGCCCTCCCCCTGCTCTCTCTGAACCCAGGACACCCTATCATCCAGATCATTAATGAAGATGTTGAACAGGATCAGATCCAGTATTGACCCCTGGGGTACACTGCTAAGTTACTGGCTTCCAGGCAGACTCAGCTGCTGATCACCAGCCTCTTGCTGGACATTCAGCCAGTTTTCAGGCCACCTCACCATCTGCTCATCCAGCCCCTGCATCAACATTTTCTCTATGAGTCTCCTATGGGAGACGGTGCCAAAAGCCTCACTGAAGTCTAAGAACAGCCACTACTCTTCGCTCATCTACCATGCCAGATCACTGTTCAGTTAATAGGTTCTTCAGCTATGCCACTAATCCCCATGCAAGGGGATCTCTGAGTGAAGGATCAGCTCTGTTTTTTTCAAGGAGTTGAATACCTGTCAAAGCAATTGCTGCAAGAATCCTGATTTAACTGTGTTAGTCACTGTTCAGTGAGTGCCTGCTGCTCAGGATGCAGTGTTATGATGAAACTGAGCTAAGTGACATTTCAGATTTACCACGAAGCTAAGCTAGCTGCCCAGGAATGTTGTAGTCCTGTTCCCTTATGTACCACCAGTGTTCACTTATAGCCTAGTCCTGTCCACTGTCAGGCCAGTCCAGAAAGTATACCGTGCGTATTAACCACTCACAAAAGAAGGGAATGGATTTCTTCTCATTTGGCTTCCTAAAGCATCTCTGTATGGGGGCTTATACACACCTGTGCTAGTGGAAGGGGCAGGTGGGGAAGCACTGGCAAAGTAAGGAAGAGCACAGAGGGGGCTTGCTCTGGCTTGCAAGCTGGATATTAATCACTTTAGCTGCAGTACGAAGCTGTCTTCAGACTCATCTACTCTGTCAATATAGTAAATAAATGAGAAGAAATATTCCACATGCTTATAACAACAGAGTCTGCAGTGAGATTTAGCTGCCTGTCGACATCAATTCTAAAACCCATGCCATGCATTACTCCAGTAGATCTGCTATTTTAGTTGCTGAGGTTTTAATATATTTTAATACAATCTTCCTATCACTGGTTATCCTTTTCTTGGGTATTCTCACTTGGTTCATTACTTCTGGTGTATGTACCAATTGCTGTACTTCAAGTTTATAGAATTTAAATTTTTTTGCTGGATATGTCCAGCCTGTCAGATCTTATCATAAAATCCCACCTGTTTTATCTCTAGCTTTGTTAGGTTTTTTTTTGGTAGAATACAAGCAGCGTGGCTTTATCAGGCATCTCTTTATCAGCCACACTCTCAACTGTCCCATAACGTCAGGTTTATCACAAGTGTGAACTTTCTATTTTTTATGCCAAAGAAGCATTGTTTTAACCTGTGAGATGTAGCCTCATAGCACAGTGCTGTTCACTGTGTGTTACAGATGGAAGCTCAAGAAAAGCATGATCTTATTCCGTGGTTTGAGTGGATATTCTGTAGTGCTGCGTCTGTCACTGCAATCATTGTGTTTCCAGAGTATTACAGCTTTTGGAAGGGACTGTGAGAGGACATCTTGCACATCTCCACACAGGAGAAACTCTTTACTTAATGATGCTTTTCACTGATACGTATCTATCATAGGGTCACCCCATAAGGTCATATATATATATATATGTATCAGGTCATATCTGTATATATATATATATAGATATAAATAGATAAATATTTATAAAACACATATTCAAAGACTTCCAGTGACAAAGCCTGCTTAGGCCATCTACTCCAGCCTATTAGGGTTCTTACTGCTAGAAATTCTTTCTTGATACTTAATGCAAATCTTCCTTGTTCAAGGTGAACCATTTATTTCCTGTGTTTCCTGGATACTGAACAATTTTTTTCCCCCTTCCTGTTTTTGCCAGCTTTCTACATGTTTGAGCAGTGCACCTTTCCCCTTTGCTGGTGAATGAAAAACTGGACACAGGCCAGCAATGTGCAACTGCAGCCCGGAAAGCAAATTGACTTGGGCTGCATGAGAATAGTATGACCAGCAGGTTGAAGGAGGCAGTTCTGCTCTGCTCTGCTAGAGCCCCCACCAGGAGTCCTGCATCCACCTGTGGGATCCCCAGTACAAGATAAACATGGATCTATTAGAACAGGTTCACAAAAACTATCGCAGGGACGGAGCACCACTACTATGCCGAGAGGCTGAGAGATTGGGGTTGTTCAGCCTGGAGAAGAGAAGGCTCCAGGAAGGCCTTATTGTGGCCTTTCAGTATATAAAGGGGGTTTATAAGAAAGATGAAGAAAACCTTTTTATCAGGGCCTGTAGTGGCAGAGCAAGGCACAACAGTTTTAAACTGAAAGTGGGTAGGTGTAAATTGGACATGAGGAAGAAATGTTTCATGCTGAGGGTGGTTACACTGGGGAACCACTGGCACAGGGTGCCTAGAGAAGCTGTGGCTTCCCCATCCCTGGCAGCGTTCAAGACCAGGTTGGACAGGGCTTGGAGCAAGCTGCTCTAGTGGAAGATGTCCCTGCCTGTGACAGGGGGTTGGAACTGGAGGAGCTTTAAGGTCCCTTCCAACCCAAACCAGTCTGTGATTCTGTGATTCTATGATCTTGTCTCCCTCCTTCTTCTGAGCTTGGTGCCTGCAGAGCTGGTTCTCTTTCATTCCCTCACTCTCCTCTGCAGCATTTTTGACTCCTTAAATATGTTATCACCAGCATTGCTGACTGGGAGTGATTTGGCCAGAGGGGGTCTGTCTGTCTTGGAGCTGACTGAAACTGGCTCAGCCTGGCATGGGGTGAGCTTCAGTGTCTTCTCACAGAAGCCATCCCAGCATCCCCTGCCCCTTACACAAACCTTGCCATTTACACCT